ATATGACAGAGTAGAACTGCTGCCTAGGGTTTCCTAGGCTGTAATCATCATGGTTGCAGATTGCCAGGTCTTTTCTCCCTAAGAGTAGCTGAGTGAGTTTGAACCACTGACCTTCCAGTTAGCAGCCAAGAGCTTAACTATTGCACTACCAGAATTCCTTAGGTAACTCTTATCCAGCCTCAAATGTTGGCTCAGATGTTTCTCCTCCAGGAAGGCTGCCCATGTTTTCTGCCACACAAATTTGAGAAATTTCTTCCATGCTCCCACAGCTCTTTCTACCTTACATGTAACTATTGTCAGCTTTTCTTATTAATGTACAAAAGTACTTACAGTTTTATCCCTGGTGCCTAACACAGAGTAGAAACTCAGTGACTGAAGAAATAAGCCATGAGATTTCACTGTTCTCCCCTGCTGTTTTCCCAGGTAATAGAACTGAGCTGAGCATCATGACAGTTTCCCACCCCATCACATCTCTCCCTTAAGTCGAAGATCTCAGACTCACTTATCCAGTGACATCCCAGGGAAGGCAAACTTGCCCAGGCAGATGCGACAGACAGCACTCAGGGGGATCCTCTGCAGCTTCACACAGCTAAGCATAATGAAGTCATATTTGCAAATCATGAGAGTCTTATCTGTGACCAGCACAATCCTCTCCTTTTCATTGTTCCAGTGGTTTATCCTGTAGGAATAATCACAGGGAAGACAAGTTGATGGCATAGCTTTCCCAAGTCAGATAATAGCATTCACTAAAATGTGTCTAAGGAGTTCTGGCGGCTTAGTGCCTAAGGCATATGACTGCCAGCCCAAATGTTGGCAGTTCAAACCCATCAGCCACTGTGTGTAAGGAAAACTGAGCAATCTATTTTACTAACGATTTACCACCTTGGAAATCCAAAGGGAGTCGCTATGCCTGACACAAAAAAGCGTGAAATCTGATTGCCCTGGAGAAAGGTGGGACTGAGGAGTACATAATGCCATCACCTCTCTGTCAGCCTGGCCCCAGAGGGAAGTTGGAAGATCACAGGGAAAGGTTTTATGACCACAGGGATGTGATGATTATTCTTGACCTGGATTTTGTTAAGGAAGCACCAAAATTGTATCATGTTGGCAATCACATGAGCTATGTCCCTTCACACCATCCTAATTCTCTATGAAAATTTAATGGAGCACATCTTCCTCCAAGGACACCAGAAAGATTTCTTTTCACTAACTCCTTTGTACTTAATCCTTACCACAAATTTTACTCACTATGTTCTAGATTACGCTAATCTCCAAAAGTCATGTTGCTGATAGGAAATAAACACAGATCTTGACTCCTAAGAAATCACTGTTCTGAGATCATTCCATTATATCCTTGCAATGGAAATATAGTGGAATGAGTGACGTGGGGTTCTTAAGTGCTAAACACAAAGTACATACTACTTAAGTGTTTTTGGAATTGATTTGCTTCAGCTATGAGTCTTTCAGGACATGCATGGAAAATTCTGACTGAGAGTTAAGAATTTCTCCAACAACGAGAATTAAGAAATAATCAAAACAATGGCTTCTGGTTAAAAGGAAGTCAGTATGGTCTTTAGTTCCTCTCACCTACAGAACTTTTACTGTCTACTTTTACTGGTCATGCAGTGATTAAGGCATTTGACTGCTAACCAAAAGATTAGCAGCTTGAACACACTAGCAGCTCCCTGGAAGAAAGATGAAGCAGTCTGCTCCCATAAAGATTTACAGTCTTGGAAAGCTTATGAAGATCACTATGAGTCAGAATCAACTCAATGGCAGTGGGCTTGGTTTTTATGGGTTATCATAGCTTATGTT